CCCCAAAACCCCAAAACCCCAAAACCCCTTATTTTAGAACGTCAATGACTTCAGTTTATAAATAAAAGGCTAATTTCAGTAATATGGCAAATGACGAAGATTTCTCTTTGTAGGAAACCACCTTGTGTTATATAAGCGCTCCATTGAATCCTAAGAGTTGAGAATATCAAGTATTTAGAGTGTTTTAGCAAATGGTGCTAGGTTCGGAAAATTGAAACAATCTACTCTGGTTTTCAAACGCAATAGCGAGGAATTTCTCAGAAGAATAAACACAGGCTAGTTTGATTTTTAAAGGAGAAAATTTAAAATTCATTAAATTATATCGAAAGAAGTTGTATGATCATGGTTCTAAACCTCTAATCCAATTTTTGACAAAAATATTCGTTGAGAAAACACAGGACGAGGCCCCAAACTATATGTGTTTTCTAGATCTAGCAAATAACATTAGACGCCATATTTATCTTTTCAACACATTTTAGTTTAGTGCCCTCTATTTCAGGGAAAGTTAGTTTAATCCAGATCCTACTTCTTTAGTTTCTTAGGTATCATTATTGCCATGGCATCCACATAGCTAAACATTATTAAACAAATTATCAGTTCTGACACTTCGATTATTACTAGCAACTGATTTCGCTTTCCATTCTCCTTTTCTTTTTTTTAATGCCTCTGCCAAAGCTAGTTTAGATTTATTTGATTGGGCTGTTTTTAATTTTCTCTTCAGAATTGTTAGTGTTCAGTATCCTTTCTTAAAATAGAGGAATAATCTCATAAAAAGTTGGATGACATGGAGTAGGGTTATGAAACTGGATGGGAACTATACATTGCGTCATCTTGTTGCCGAGATTGCTTTCAGTCTACAAGATCCAACAATAAATACTATTCGATTTGCTTCAATCCCTCATCTTGAACTAATCTGTGCATAATCTGTTTAATTAATCTCAAGAAGATGGTTTGGTTGTGAGTGGAAGTTGTACTCATTATTCCTTCCACTCTCAGATTGATATGGGCCGCAATAAGGCTCACTCTTATACCACTCAGGTTCTTTTCTAACCTCCCTGAATGCCCAGTCTTGTACCAGCCATAATTCTTGATCGCTTTTCTGCTGGTAAGAAATTCACCAACATAGATAGAATAAAAACCAATCCCTTGAAATCTCCTTAATAAATCTAAACATGATGATAGGTTTGCCTTACTCTCAGAAGAGCATACTTTGGAAGACTGTATTCTATCCTTTTGTATAAAAGATGAAGTCTCGATCCTAAAATCCTTAGAATCACTTTTAGGATATACTTTTTAACTCCTTAAAACTTCTGAATAAAGGAACATTCATTTTTATTATAAAAGACCGTTATAGAATTAATTTAGAATACTTAAAATATGGTTGTTAAAACATCATATTTATATTATCCTTCTTCTATTCCGAAATGATCAATTTAGTGAGCTTTGGTTGGGTTACAGAGTGGAGATGACTGCTATAAAATTGCATTGGACTAAAAAGAGGGATGATAAGTTTAAAACTATAGTTAACATTTTGATCATTTATGTAAATTATAGCCAACTTTTAGGTTTATAAATGCAAGAAATAGTAATTAGACAGCAGAGAAATTGCCCATTTATAACCATGATCATACCAAATTAATATTCGAAATGTTCCTAGTTCTGAAGCTGCCAAGTTTAACTGAAATTTGGGTTCCATTCCTTCTATGGGTCAATTTTTATTGTGAGTTCTTAGCAAAGAACAAGATACATTTAGTGGTTATATCTGGGTTGTTGATACCACAAAATTAACTTGAGAGCCTTTATTATTTTACCACTAATCTGAATCGGTCCTCTATTTAATGAGTTGCTTTCATTTCTTCTAAAGTTTTTATTTTTTCATTAATAATAGAGTAAAGCCTTTGTTCTTCGAAGCTCTTATATAATCTGAAATATACTGAATGTGCTTTTCTCTGGCATTTGCTCTTCCTTCTCCAAGACCTTTCGACAATTTTAAATAACATTCCTGGAGAAACTAAAATTCCTATTGTATCTTCCTCCCTCTTTTTCAGCCCGACGAGCTTCCTTATGCTTCCTCACTTATCGACCTTTTATCGTATTCTCCCAATCACAATGATGACCTTTATCTCAGATGCTGGATTCTTTCTGTGAAGAAAATGCTCTCTGCATTTTTCTTATTACATCTTGAATTATAATGTCATGATGATTCGTCTGGATTTCATTTACTATCTCAGAGATATCAGCACAGCCTAGCTTATCAATTTCATCATGGTATTTTAGTGAGTCAAGAAAAGTTCCGACTCATCCATAAATCTGATCTTCATCTTCAATTTTATGTTCTCCTTTCTTCGTCTTTTGATGAGCCTGGGCTCAGAACGGCCAGGTTTTCATTCAGAAAGTATTCCCTAATCAGGGAAATTCCAAGTTGTGTCTGTTGTTCTTGGCTCTTATTCATTTTTGCTCATTATAGAAAATAAATTATTTTTAAATTCTCAATTGAAACTGAAGAGTCGGGGTTTTGGGGTTTTGGGGTTTTGGGG